TTATTTCACGAGTGACATAGCTTAAAATAAGGATAACGTGTCACTTTCATCATAAAGGTTGTTAGCCTGCATTTTGCTATGCATTGAAACTTGTTGTGAATGCATATTCACAACAATTTACATGCATAAAAGTCGTTTAACCTTATAAATTTAACCTTAGTTTAAGTTTGATATGCAGTTAGCTGGTCATGCAGAATCTCTCAAAGAAATTTCATTTCGTTAACAGATACCTGTAATATCAATATACTTGTCAAGATATAAAATATTAAATTCATGTAGCTCTAGCATACCAAAAAACAAACAAACAAACAAAACATAAGGGAAAAAAAACAAAAACATAAAAATCAAGCCATGAAATATTGTGAAGATTTGTTGGTAGGCATATATCTCAGACTTATGTTTCATTCATTAGAGTCGGAGGAATATGTGCATGTGCTAAAGTCTTCTTCTCTCTCTCTGTTGTGTATGAAAATCTTGACGAATTTTTATGAAAAGTATACTCTAAACAATCAATTTCTGTAAAGGATTTTGTATTAAATATTCTCCGTAGTTTTACATTTTTCTAGTTAATATTTGATATAATTGATATCTAATTCCTATCACTAAAATATGTTTTGTATTAAGCAGATATACAGTCACTAATAGAGGCGGGAAAAAGTAATGGAAAGAAATTAATTCAATTTATAAGGAGATCCGATTAAATTGTTATGTCCAACGCTCACGTCGACTTTTGCTTCCATGATTCTGAGATTGATAATACATGTATCTACTCTCCTCCCATCGTCTCACCTCATCATGGAAGGTTTTTTCTTTGGCTAGTTTTCTGCTAGTTTGTTATGGATTTAACTAGCATAAGCTTTGTTTCCGAGAGAGATATCCAGTACGCAACACAAATTAATCATTACCTGGTTTTCCGGGAAATCGTTTCTGGGATACAATATTAAAGTGATCTTATCTGGGGGAAAAACTGTTATCTTATTATTTGGTATGATCAGTTGATAAAATCGAATATGATTGAAATATGACAATGGAAAATTATTCATATTTTTGTAATTTTTGATTGGTCCTCGTATGAAGAAAAATATATAATACGGCTTTCCAAATGTAATGTTAACTCGCTTGACGCACATAAATATTATATGAAACAAATTTTACTTCCAACATTTCAATTTTTTTCATTTAAAAGAATTATCATGATGGACAATAACATAATAATAGGCAATATAACTGACCATAATATGTTAATGCACTTTAGTTAAACCCTTAGTGTTTTAGAGGGAAGGGGTCTAGAACCGATATAACTGCATCGTTTACTGAATCGAATCTCCTTGTTTCTTTTAATTCATATATTGCAGGTTTCGTCACAAACTATTGTGAATTTTCTACAAACAAAGACGACTATCCTTGTTAATTTTCTCTATGAAATTTCTTATTACAATATAATTTGTTTTACATGTATTTACATGCAAATTACAAGTACAGAAAAAGGTTATTATAAAATATTTAAACTTAAGCCAATCTTTATCTTAACTTAGAACATACAATCATGTAATTAAAACATCATAATAATAATGAATGACTATGATTTAATATTTCTTATGGGTATATAGATTCATCTATCTATATTTATGTAACTTTTCAAATCCTTATACATGCGTGTTAATACTGTCTAGCAATATTATTTGACGATAAGTATCATGCTGTATCTGATGATGTAATATATCATTTAAACAATGATATAGATTCCATTCATGTAAGAATCTTTTAATATTTATTATATATCTTTGATCACTTTAAAAAGTGTCATAGCATTATATTGTTTTCAGAGGTTATTAGACTCTATGTTTACCAACATAAAAAAAAACCTGCTTGCATAATTTTCGAACGACTTTTCTAAAATCTTTAGTACATGTATGAAGACATACCTTTCGTGAAAAGAAAGAACATCCAACAAATGACCAATCCAACAAATGACCAAGTATACTAATTTGTTCAGCGCCATGGCCTTTAATTTAATGAGAAAAAGAATTCAGACTTTTTTTATTTTAACAAAACAGAAATAATCATTAAGTGGTAAATTCCTCAAATTTGGCGATAATTATTTCCGCGATTTTTTAAACCAAGTTTTGTTTTTAATCCCTGTATTGATTTCCGTCGTTCCCCAGAAATTTCAAACATTATCGACAGATCATAATGTACAATGTATTACTAGAAGAGGTAACAAAAGGTAACTTCAAATGCATGAGTATTGATAAATATCATATAAATATTGATAAAATTTCGGTTAAAGATATACATGTACACACGAATGATTTTACTTTGTGTCTAAACCCTTCTTTTTCTACCCTTTTCAGTGTTTGAATATAATCTTTAGCAAATTTTTAGCATGGATTTGGAAATCAGTAAGTTAGGAAAACTCTAAAAGATAATAATAAAAATAAAACTACAAACTCCTTCGTGTATCATAAATGTGATACATGTAAGCAGATAAAGCAATTCCAAGTGCCTCTTGGTTTAGATGCCTCAGATAAAAAACAGAACAAAAAACAAAATCAGTAGTCTCAAAATTTTCTTTCTGTATTTGCCGAGACTCTGTCAGATACGTAGTATTACTCATTTACTACCTTGAATTAGCAAATGAATATAACTTTCTATCAAATCGTTTGAATGACATTTTTTTGAAGTGTATTTTTCCTTTTGCAGGGACGTAGCGTAGCATCGTTTTTGAAAGGGGGGGGGGGGGCAGCCAGAGACAAAAAATTCAACATACCTGAAAAGAACTTGACAATCAAAAAAGAAAAAAAAGGAAAATTGTCCGAACTCGAAAAATCCTATTTCGTTGGGGGGGGGGGGGTTAGATAGGTTCCATAGGTTCCAACTTCTTTCAGTACCAAATTTTATTCATACACTACTACAAAACCCTTATTTCACTTTTCTACAACAAAGGGGGGGGGGAGAACCGGCCTTTCAATTAACATTTCAAATATTAAAAAAAGTCTTTGGAAAAAAGTGGGGGGCTGCCCCCCCCCCCCCCCCCCGTTGCTACGTGCCTGTTTTGTAAATAGGAAGGTTTTTAGGTTTTTGATTGATAGGTGAACGCAAATCAAAAAAGAAAAAAAAACTAGGAAAATTTCCTATTCTTAGAAACCATGGCAACACCGTTTTCGAAATCAGAAACTGAAACACAGAATTATGTAATACTATCTTAATGTAATCTACTTTGTTCCAAGTCATAATGAAAATTGACCAAAACTGTAGGAGAAGAAGCGTTTTAAAAAATTGTTTACAGACGGACAGAAAGCTAGACGGACGACGGACATCTTACCAATGCATGAGCTCTTCTGATTTCTGACCAATAGAGCTAAAAAGCATCATCAACAGTAAAATGAAAGCTTCTGATGAAAACGAATACATGTAACTAATAGGTATCTTCAATATAAACGCAGTGATTCATACATCAATGTTTGTTCCAAGTACAATTCTCCATGTGATTATCTTGGACAGGTTCTTCGAGCGGTGAAGGAATAACAGTTCCTTCTTACTCCTTACTCCGCGACTCTTGAGCAATTAAACGCTCTAACCACTGTGCCACGCTGGCGACTTTTGGGTTTTTGTGCTTGTTCTTTTTAATGTCTTGCATTGATATCTTTTTGGGGTTTGGGGGGGGGGGGGTAGTTGTTGATACATGTATTTTATTCTGATTTTATCTAAGAAGGATATGAACTTCATAAGCAAACATTGAACAGTGAGTCTTCCTTTTAAAGGAGAAATTGTGCCTTTTGGATTAGTATGAAAATTAGATGAAAGTTAGCACGTTATACTTAAAATACATTTACAATGTAACTTTCTTATACCAAACTAACTAACCTTCTGTCAGTTTTATCAGGCACAAGAGGCACCGGGACGAGAACAATATATCATTGGAAGGATGTAAGTATTCAATACACTACTTACATAGTCGCACTACATGGAGTTTATCAAGGAAAAATTAATATATACATGTTTATGCATAGGCCATCGAACAAGAGCACTTCCACCATATTGTAGATTTAAAAATTGATCTTGTCTTCAAAGAAATATTGATGATCATTAAGTTCTATGATTCATTGCGTGTTGTAAATTACGAGTAGTGCCCATTGGAATTCCACTAGTCTGAAGACAAACAAAATGTGTTTGTGAAACACTAATTCCCCGTATGGCAACTTCTAGTAAAGGTTAAACTTTCTCAAATGCAAATCGAATTTGTTGGTACCCGAAGTAGGGTCTTGTCTCGAGGAATATACCTGTGAAATATGAAAGCTCCTGCATCAACCATTAAATAGATATGGAAAAGGTTAATGCTTTTCAAAAGTAAATCATACATCAAGGTGAAATGGTCAAAATTATTGGTGCCCAAGGAGAGGCCTTCTCACAAGAAATACAAATATGAAATATGAAAGCTGTAGCACCAATCGTTCAAAAGTTATGGCCAAGGTAAAATTTTATCAAAAGAAGGTCAAACTTCAAGGTCAAAGTTGTTGGTATCTAAAGGAAGGTCTTGTCACAAGGATTACTTATTTGAAGTATGAAAGCCCTAGCCCCAAAAAGTTATGGCCAAGGTTGAAGTTTTTCAAAAAAATAGGTCAAACTCATAGGTCAAGGTCAAAGGGTCAAAGTGGTTGGTATCAAAAGGAAGGTCTTGTCACAAGAATTACACATGTGAAGTATGAAAGCCCTAACACCAACTGTTCAAAAGTTATGGCCAAGGTTAATGTTCAGTAAAATTTTGAAAAACTGGGTCAAACTCCAAGATCAATGTCAAATATGATGGTACCCAAAGAAAGGTCTTGTCATAAGGAGTACATATGTGAAGTATGAAAGCCATAGCTGCAATCAATCAAAAGTTATGGGCAATGTTAAAGTTTTTGCGGAAAAAGAGACAGACTGATGGACAGGGCAAAAACTATATTCCCCCGAATCGTCGATACGGGGACATAAAATACGAAGAAATGAATCACAAATTTATTGTATATATTTGTATTTATTGTATATTACTTATCGTGAAAAGTAAAACAAGTGAACAAAGAAACAGAGAGATTACTGCATGGCATAAATTTAGTCAGCTAAAATCAAGAAATTCAAAACATTTTGAAACTTTACATAACAATTTTATGACCAAAAAAAATACAGAACAAACGGGTTGATTCGTAGTTTGAAAGTGGTTGTAGTTTATTTCAGGTTCTGCATGGCGGAGGTAATGCTGTGTTCGAAATGTTTTTTCCAATTTGGTATGGAGAGGAGATAATTACATGTTGACCAACCATTCATTCGTAAAACGGAACCGATTCCTCTTTGTGTGGCAGAGACGAATTGCCATATGTTTGGCCATGGACTCCCATTTCATCATGAAACGCCGTGTAGTACTGCCCATCGTAATGATTTAGTTGTGGGGGTAACAGAATTCCTGCCGAATTATTTGCTATAAAATTAAAAATGATTTCAATTGAAATAAGACTCTACATATATTTATGTCTTTTCATATTCCTACTTAAAATATATTAACAGTTAATTGTAGTAATAAACCAATGTTTCAAAAAGAAGATGGGCGAACAAGGCGAGCGAAATAGTGCGACAAACATAAAGGTAATAAAGTGCCCCGCCACAGCATGATACGCCCGTCAAATATTGTTCAATTATACGAACAGTTTAGAGTGCAAGAAAATCAAGTCAACCTTGATACAAGGATTTCCAAGATTTTTCCATTTCTTATAATTTTTGTTTATACATTTCATGTGGTGAAGGCATTATAACAAATATTACATTATAGATCCTCAACTGGTAGTGTTAGAGCTTGACAAATGCCTTCTGCAGCCCCCCCCCCCCCCACACAGTGACACACACACACACATCTTTCATATTTGTGAAACATGATGCTCTGAAATTTACTAGTTGATATTTTCAAAAAAGTAAATAAAAATATCATATTAAACAATATCAATTTAGTCTTAACAACTTAATCTATACCAATTTAATTTTAAAATAAAAGACTGGCCATCAAATGACATATGCTATAAACTAACCAGCAGTTCTGTGTAATTCCCAAAGGATACAGATAAGAACTGCTTGATCAGAGATGCTCTAACAGAAATGATTGAGACAGCTAGCCTTCCTACACTGAACTCACTAATTAATCTTTAACTAGATGCATATCCACTCATTACTCCCAAGGGATGAATGGATCTGCGCTATCTGCTTGGTAGTGCAATTAAAATGCATATTTATGTCATTCTGAAATTAAATTTGAAAACAAAGATTTTTTTTTTAATTTGTTACAAAGATTTATAAAAAGAAAAAAAATTTGTAATCTTGATGCAACATTTTTAATAAGGTTTCTGCTTGACTCTTACATTTGTAGGGACTATCTACCATAATAAATTTTTTTTAAAATACTTGTTTTGTTTTTTTTTAGATTCAATGTCACACTGGTTTTAAGCTGCAATTCATATGGACAATGGGCATGCTAATTCCAATTCCAATATCATATCCCCCCCCCCCCCCGAGTATAATTAGTTTTAATTAATTAGTTTATTATACGATATCAAATAAGTTTATTATACAATATCAAATTAGTTTTAATTACTTTTCACCAAATTCATTTTAAAAGTTAAGCTAGCCCACAAAAACTATTTAATCCAACATGGCTGACTCCTCTGCCCAATTCCCAAGAGATAAAGATAACACCTGCTTGATCAGAGATGCTCTACCAGTTAGCTCCTCACACTAAACTCATTAATTTCTCTCTAATTTGACATGCAATTTTCTGTTATCAAAATTCTCCTTGACCAGTGCTTGATAATTACACCCATGGGAGAGGTGGAATTTCTCTTGTAACATTATATTTGTTATAGATTGCTGTAAAGTATATAATGAAAAAAATAAGTATTTCTTGATTTTAACATCTTTTTAATAAGGATACTGCAACACTTTTACATTTTTTGGGATTGTGTAATTTAATAGTAAAAAGACAGTTTTTTTTTAAAATTTCACTTAAATTAAAGGTCACAGTGACCTTGAAATAGGTCGCGACACACCTTCTACCTAAGACGCATAAACTGGCCAAGTTTGATGATTCTAAGTCTAATAGTTTTCTAGTTATGAGCCGGACAGGATTTTTCCATATTTGGCCATAGCATCTTAATTAAAGGTCAGAACGACCTACTTTTAGTGCGCGACACACCTTCTACCCAAGAAGTATCAGCTGACAAAGTTTGATAATCCTAGGCCTAATAGTATTAAAGTTATGAGCCGGACACGAGAAAAGCTAACAGACAGACAGACGGACGGACGGACATGAACGCCATAACATAATACGTCCCGTCTAAAGACGGGCGTATAAAAATCAAATCTCAATTATAACAAAATTTTCGTCGATATTTTATCTAACATTAAAATAAACTTAATGAAAAATCTTCACAATTTGCAAAAATCTCACAAAAATTGAAATTATTTGCCTATGAAATAACATACACACACTAAAGAGGGCAAAAGGATCATTTTCTCATACTATAGCACAATTTTTTGATATGAGTGGGTCTTCGCTCCATTTTTTTTTTTTTGAAAGTTTAACCTCAAAGTTTGTGTAAAAATATACATTTTTTTGGTTAATAAAAACATGGAGCAAAGACCCACTATGCTTCAAAAATACACTTTTATGAAACAACATTCGCATCTTTCCGAGAAATACCTGAAGTCCATTTAGTCAAGGGTCATATTACAAACATGATTTAATTGCTACTATTCATCTAGAGCTGTGTAGCGTACCGGTTAGCATATTGGCCTTAAAGGTTAATCACAATCAGGATTTTTATTGCTAGGGTTCGAACCCAGCGAGTACCACATTATTTATTGATAACAGAAAAATTCTGGTCGAGAAATTTTATTCAAAAAAGTGTTGTTTATCATAATTTCATAAATTTCAATAATGAGGACTTTAAATGCTAAATTCACAAATTGAATATGATTTATATATTATTAATATCTAAAGCTATATAGGCATTCTGCACGCCTTGTTCATCCATCTCCTTTTACAAATTAGCCTAAAATCAAATAGTATGTACTATAGTTTTTAAACCAAAGTATTTACTATACTTACACTATATATCAATGTTCAATGATATTTACTATTACAAAGTAGAAAGAAGTTTGTATTTTTACACATTTATACTGAACAACGGTTTGCTACAGAGTATTGCTACTTATTTTGCTTTTAATAAAAAAAATATACCCCCTACCGAATAAATCAGAAGGTACACATCGGCGCCATTTTGATCTTTTCTAGCTTGTTCACGTCAACTTGTATTTTCGTCTGAAACTCCGTGAAATAAATTCCCTGCAACCGTATCCTTTCTGTGGTCAGTCTCTCGAGGTCTCAGCTTACGGACAGTACAACCAAAATGGCACATCACGTTTGCAAATATTAAAAATCTCTCGTCAAACTTGATAGAACTGCTCCAACAATCCGTGCTAAAGGGGGGGGGGCTGAAATTTATATCAATATGGTAATGGGAATACCGATTTGTTAGTTCTTGGGTGGATCAAAAGCGGCATGTTGTAATTACTTTGAATTTTTAACAAGCATCTCGATATTAAAATCTCGATTAAAAACGGTTGCAGGGAATTTATTTCAGGGAGTTGCAAACGAAAATACACGTTGATGTTGCCGACTTGGAAAAAATCAAGATGGCGGCGATGTGTACCTTGTGAATTATTAGGAAGGGGGTATATTTCTTTTATTAAAAGAAAAATAAGTAACGTCAGGTGCCTGTGAGAGTATTATGAGTCATATTTTACTTAAGTAAACCAAAATTCCAAGATAATGCCAGTGAATAAATCATATAAAAATATCGGCAGTTTTACAATTATAGTAAATTTAATGAGAAATAGAAATCTCAAGAGTAATTAAATTTTTACCAAAGTAAATCAATTTCTCAAGGTTTTATATGATGTTTAATCAGATCAAATATTCCTAATTCTATCTATAGAATACAAAAAAAAATTTTGTGATTGAAACATCATAGAATGCAAATATTGTATTCATTTATACAATGCAAACAGAAATTATACATTTTCCCGTTTGCCCGATCGTGACAAGGAGCATACAGTGGGTATGATGGGTCGGCAGGGGATGCTTACTCCTCAATTGCACCTTATCCCACCTCTGAGGGTTTTAGAGGTCCGTGTTTGCTCTGCTCCAAATTTGTAGTGTTTCAATGGACTTTTGAGATTGATTAATGCTCGTTATCTACATATTTCACATAACAAGTAATAAATTATAAAATGCAAATAGAAATTATGACATACAATAAGTAGAAAGTATACAAAACAAATAAAAAAGTACACTACAAATTGTGAAATATAAAATTTGAAACAAATACTACGAATGGAAAATTAAAGATAAATAAAAATTATACAATACAAACTGTAAAATATGCAATACAAATGGAAAATTACTGTAAACCAACTTTTATTCGCGAGCGAGAAATTTTCGCGAGTTTCGCAACCTACTTTAATTCGCGAATATTAATCCCCGAGAACTATTTAATTTGCTTTGTATTTGTAGACATTGTTTCCTCAGTCGCGAAAATTAATCGTCGTGGATTGATTTCAAACTGACGATTCGCGAATAAAAGTTGACGCGAATAATAGTTGGTTTACAGTATACATTACATGCTAAAAGCTCGAATATGCAACGTTCAACATGCCTTAGAAAACAACCATTCGCTTAAAAGTAAATAAGAAGTTACATGTATGAAAGTGAAATAAAACTGGTTATGAATATTCATAAATGTTCTTACGTGTAATGGTCGTATGCTGTGTTGATGAGTTATTGAGTTTTAAACCAGAAGTGGTCCGTCTTCTTCGGCTCCAGCACATGCAGCAGTCGAGGAAAAAATACAAAGCGATACCAAGTATCACACACCCGCATACTATTCCAATAACCACTTCCGCATAATAACTTTCACTAAAGTTGTAAAAAGAATACAAATGTATTCTTAGATCATTCAAGTACACGTAACCTTTTTCTTTACATGCTTTAATCTTTACTTTTTTGAAAATTTTATATTGACTTTTGAAAAGAGTTAATTTGAAATAACAATACCTTTTGTCCTTGAATGTCCTCTTCACAGAGATATCAGAAAACATTTTATCAACCTTTGAAAGATCAGATCTGCCTACCTCCTCTTACATGATATTTTTCTCTAAATAATGACAAATGTACATTTATATTTGCAAATAGAAAAGAATCGGATTCTTAAGAAGTTGGTGGAAAACAAATTTTCGACGAAAAAATATTTGAGAAAATTATTTTAAAAATTGAATTACACTATAAAAAAAAATGTAAGAATTTGTGTCCCACCGCTTAAGGAAAAAAGAAGAGCATGTGCGGATCTCTATAGAGGAGGGGGAGGGGGTCCGGATCCCCCTGGATTTGTAGAGTTATTAAATCATATACTGAAGTACACACACAGAAAACATGGGCCCCTGTTAAGAAATAGCTGTTTTACATTTGGGGAAAAAAGGAGTTCAAGTGTTTTGATTTGTTTCTGAGCTGGAAATTTTTTCACTGGGACGGACCCCCGAGAAAAAATTCCTGGATCCGCGCCTGGAAAGGGTGGAAGAAATTGAAAAAAATTGCAGATGGAGAAAGAAAATAAGTTGACCTTTCAGCTTTTGGCCTTACGGCCACATAAATTTAAAGTTAGAGTTTTGTCCTAATGTGCTTAAAATTGGGGCGGGTGGAGTATTAAATTTTTTTTCCATTTTCTATTACTGTGAACATCTACATAACGATATTCTTGTACAAAATTTTCACATTGTACCTGCCAATATGGATATATAAATTTGAATGCTTATTCTTTAAAATGTGCACAGAAGATTCTTTTTATATTAAATATTTATCGACTGTAATAATGATTTTATGAGAAGGTTTGTACACGCCAGGCACCATAACTGCTTGTATGAAATTGGGCGCGGGTCCAAATACTTTGTGCATATTGGTTCACCACTTCTCATTGGCCTTTATCTAAATATATATTTTTCGTCTAACCAACAAATACTAGTGCTTTGTCTGAAAATATCACAGATTTCCACTTGTCCTTATAACGTCCAGAGTCATAACTGCTTGTATGAAACTGGGCGAGGATCCAAATACTTCGTGCATACATGTATCAGTGCTTTACATGTTATTCATCACTTCTGATTCGCTTTTTTTAAAAATATATTTTTCGTTTGACCAACAAATACTTGTGTTTTGTCTGAAAATATCACAGAATTCCACTGCCTTTATAACGTCTAATTTTTTGTTCTTGACACGTTCGATACTGTCAGCATTTTACAGCATGTGGTGTCAAATTTAGCCTTTACTAAACAGTTCAAATAGGTGTAATTAGAATCTAAAGTCCACCAACAACTTGTATTATGTAATAACTCTCCACATTCTCCTGTGCTAAAAATATTAATACGAACGGGGAGTAAATCTAAAACTTTGAGAGTGATCGATGCCAACAAATTTCCAATTGATTTTTGAAAAAAAAAATTGACCAATTAAAAAAAAAAACAATGGGACGGGACACTTTGAGAGGGGCAGACGGGCCCATAGGGAGTTATGGTTTTAAATTTCTTTGCAAAAGCTAAGACGCTTTTTGAGATATAGCCCGGAAACGAAGGTGTTACGTACGGAAGCCGGATAGGCTCATTTTTGACAAGACAAAAATTTTTAACTCGTTATAACGAGATAATTATTTCTTAATAACGAGTTAGTATCTCGTTAAAACGAATTAGTATCTCGTTATGACGAGTTAGTTATCTCGTTATGGCGAGATAATTATCTCATTATAACGAGTTAAATTTATTTTATCTTGTCGAAAATGAGCCTTTCCGGCTTTCGTAGTTACGCACAGACAGAATGCATGAATTTACACCCTTGACCTTTCATCTTTTGACCTCAAAATCAATAGAAGTCTTCTAAAGGCCACAGGGAGTTTTTATATAAAGTTTTATTGCAAAAGTTTCTCAAGATATCACGCGGAAACGAAAGTATTAAAACAGACAGAATTTATGACCTTGACCTTTGACCTCAAAATCAATTAAGGTCTTCCATAGACCAAAGCGAGTTGTTATGTAAAATTTCATTGCAAAAGCTCAAAGGCTTCTCGAGATATCGCGCGGAAACGAAAGTGTTACAGAAAGGCAGAAATACAGCTAAACGGACAGACAGAGCCAAATTACAGTTTTCCATCCCTAATAGGACCTAATTCTCTATCCTTAAATATCCATCGCATATATAATACACTGATATTAATTCAAAGCATTTTACAGTAGAAAAGGATTTACCAAGAGAAAGTTTCAAAAACGTAATTAACTAAGCAGTAATTAATTAACAGAAATTACATTGAAGTCTATGGAGACAAGCGATTTTTTAAAAATAAAAATTCAAATAATATTAAGAATATCAATAAATGCTGTGGTGGAAAGATGCATTCAATCATTAGAAGTAGAATGACAATTGAAAACAATTTTTTATCGTACAGATTTTTTAAAATTGATTTTTATTACTTAAAAAAAGAGGGAGATAACTCTTCAACAAAGGTCAAGGTCATAAATTAGGACACGTTCCATTCTTACATGCTAATAGTAATAAATGGGAATTATGTCTAAATATACTGAGTATTCAACACGTAAACATCGGTCATGTATTTAAATTCATTGAATCTGAGGCTATTAGGGATGAAATACCTTAATATCCCCTACTTTCAATGAAAGCGGAGGACAAAAAAAAAAAACAAATTTAATCTACTCATATGTAAGGAGGGCATAAAATACGGACCCCTGGAAAGACCAGAGGTGGGATCTGGTGCCTAGGAGGAGTAAGCACCTTTTGTTGACCATAGGGCTGAAGGTGTGACCGGTCAAGGTGTGAGCACACCTTGACCGGTCATACCCTCAGTCCTATGTGGAGATCAGGTAGACGGAACATTCTGTAGTCAAATTAATTATAGAAACAAAAATACGACCCATTGAAAGGTTATCTTTGCAAACAAGGTCATTATAATAACCGTAGAATTTACAAAGTTGACTTTAAACGAGGTCTTTGAAATCCCTGTAACATCAAGTAATCTGTCAATAGCCTGTCTCGGTTTAAAAATTGATCGTACTCAGAGTATGCTCTTGAGTATCGAATCAGTTTTAAGATGTTGGCGCCAATTGCAGATGATAGTTGGATATTACTACATAATATAAATAAGGAAAATTGACGATAGAAAAGCTGAATTCGTCTCATTTGACATACAATTTAGTTGTTAGTTTGCCGTTATCGTCTATTGTCAATGAAACATCCAGATGCAAAACAAATGTGGCAGATTATGTTGTGTCTGGAGTATATCGAGTCGACATATGAATGAAAGTAAAATTGTTAATGGATAATACGTCGTCGATATAAATTTCGATTTGAAGCCCACAGCAATGGTTTTCTTCTCATGTAAAAGTTTTTGAATAAATTCTGCTTGGCTAATAAAGGAGCACAGCATGTGACCATCGATATTCCAACAGTTTGCCGGAGGACCTGGTCTCTGAAGACTACATATATGTTGTCAATGAGGAACCCCAGCATCCTTTTAATATAAACGTCAAAGTACTTGTGTGTAGAATCAGAGGTGAATTTTAACAGAGTAATCACAAGATACGAAAAATTTCGACTATCATTTTTATTGAAGAAGCAGTTTTCTATGATATCAAAAAGCCCAGTTTTTAATTTATCTCGAAGAATGGTTGTTTAAAGTGTAGAAAAGTCGTACGTTTCAATGTTACTGACTTTTGAAAAAATTAAGCGATTTTAAATTTACCCGGATAATATGTTCTTCAGTGTACAAGTAGTTTGTAATAAAGTTGCAAAATCTTTTCGTCCTTTATGGTTGTAGTCTGTCTGAATAATGCATACTTTATTTACAAGAACTTATTTTAATGTCAAATATAGTATTTTAATAAAATTGACTTCATTTGTCGAAAGTACATGTATATAAAATAGGAGGAATTAAAAAAAATAATTAAGGAGGATCTCTACACCGATGAAGAATAAATGATTTTTGTTGCATGCACTTGTTCATAGTAATAGACTTAATATCCAATAAAATAAAGCGCCTAATTAAGCGTTTTACTTTATTTTTAGCAAAAATTTTAAATATTCATTTCATTTTGTAGAGACCCCTTATTTTGATATTTTTAAAAGCCTTGTGCTTCAAAATTCTATTCAAAGATTGATCCTATAAAAACCTATAAATAAAAACTAACAAAGTCGTAAACGAAATCTACATAATTTTTATTTGAATCTACTTAAAAAGACAAAAGAAACACTAAAACAGCATTTTCATGAGAAGAGCTGGATGAATTTCTTCCATAATCTGAAAATAAAAAGAATATCAAAGGCTTAAAATGATGAGAAAAAAAGAAAAGAAATTGAATTGAATTGAAAACTGACAAAAATTTCAAACACCACAAAAATTCTGGTGGGAAAGGTCCATTCAAAGAGTGGGCTCAAATATCTTGGTAATGATTTATATATATATATATATATATATATATATATATATATATATATATATATATATATATATATATATATATATATATATATATATAAATAATTTAATATAATTATTTTAAAAGTTGCACAGGTATTGATAGAAGTATTAATTATAATAAGGACATGCCAAAAAGAACATCGAAAGAAGTTTTTCTTGTATTGTATCCAAATGCATTTAAGCAAATACTCGCATATTTCTAGTCAAAGCCATGTGAATTCAAGGTATTGAGAAAGGAAGATTTACTTATCTTTTTCATCCAGCTTGTATGAATTATCCTGTGTTGCAGATATGATACGACAAGTAAATGGTCAAAGCGGGTAAAAGTAGTTCGTATAACGAAATTCCTACTTCTTTTCAGATCGTTACGTTTCCATACAAAACTGCTGAGAAACAAAGTTGATCAAACCTTTGAGTTAACACAATTCCACCTCTTACCGAAGCGTTTTGGTGATTTCATGAAGAGTTCAAATTCACCGGGTATAACCACACATGTGGGGTGTATACTCTGTTGTGAAAGGGTGCATCTTCTAGGTGATGAGGTTTGGATATGCCTTTTCTGTTTAAATTTGCATTTTGGGTGAATTTTGCTGGAAAGCATAATTATGCTTTCATCAGA